GGTGAGTACTTGGGTCAAATGGAATTTTTGGTTTCTCTTTATTTATTTATTTATTTATTTTTTGTCTTTTTCCTTTTTATCGGTACCAGGGATCGAACTCAAGACTGCCTGCTTGCAAGGCAGGTGCTTATGCCGCTGAGCTAAATCCCCAGCCCCAGTTTCTCTTTATTGAGTAACCTTCACACTGATTTCTATAATGGTTGCACTAGTTTACATTCTGACCAACAATACAGAAGGTTCCTTTCTCTCTCAAGTCTCACCATTTATTTATTATTTGATTTCTTGATTATAGTTGTTCTTGCTGGAGTAAGACAGAATCTCACTGCTGTTTGAATTTGCATTTCTCTACTGGTCAATAATGTTGAACTATGTATGTATTTACTGATCATACGTACTTCAAAGAAACATTCCATTTTTTGACTGCCTCATTTGTTGGGGGGCATCCAATGTTTTTGAGTTTTATATATTCTAGATATTAGTCTTCTGCCCACTGAGTAGCTGGCAAAATAATCTTTTTTCCATTCTGTAGGTTCTTTTGACTCTGCCGGCTTTTCCTTTGTTATGCAGAAGCTTTTTAATTTGATATGATCCTACCTGTTGATTTTTGGTACTCTGTCATATAATTGGAGTTCTATTCAGAAAGTCCTTATTTACATCTGTGTATTCAAGTTTTATCTATTTCATCTTCCAGTATATTGTTCCTGTTTTAACACTTAGATCTATAATGTCTTGATGATAGTTTACTAAGTGGTGAGAGATACAGATCTAGATTGAATCCTCTGCATGAGGATAGTCTGTTTTTCTAGCACCATTTGTTATAGAGGTCATCTTCCTTCCAGCGTAAGTTTTTAGTACCTTTGTTGTCTTAGTTACTTTTCTCTTTGCTAAGGAAGAAAGGACTAATTCAGCTCACAGTTTGAACAGGTTTAGTCCATCTGTTCCAAGCCAATGTGGCATGGGAGAGGAGAAATGTCCAAGCAAAGCACCAAGCAACAATCAGCAACAGCAAGCCTGCTTCTCCTTTTTATCCCATCCAAGCCACCAGCCTTTTTGGGTGGTGTCAATAACATTCAGGGTGGGGCTTCTCTTATCTACCCCTCTACCCTCATATGACACCCTTAATCCACATTCACACATCCTAATCCAGCTCCCTTTGAAACTCCCCACTCATGAGGCTCTGGGAGACATCTGAATAGAAGCCATCATCAACACTGTCAAAGATCAGGTAGTTGAATGTACCTGGAGCTGTTTCAGCATCCTCTATTCTGTTCCTATTGATACATTTCTTTTTTTCCCCCCAACACCATGCTCTTAGTTCTTTTTTTTTTTTTTTTTTTTTTTTTTTTTTTTTTTTTTTATAGGTACCGGGGATTGAACTCACAACCACACATTTGCAAGGCAAGCACTTATGCTGCTGAGCTAAATCCCCAGCCCCCTATCATGCTCTTTACATCACTATAGCTCTGCAACATAACTTGAATTTTGGAATTGTGTTGCTTTCTTGCCTTACTGTTGGAGCCCACAATTGTTTTCTATATAGGTCTTTTCTGGTTCTATATATTTTCTTTTATTCTTTTGCTTTCCCTTCTTCCCTCCATCTTTAGCTCTGTGAGGAATGCTGTTGATATTTTGATTAGGATTGTATTAAATCTGTGTATTACTTTATGTCAGTTCTGCCTATCTAGGAACAAGAGATATGTTTCCATTTCCTGTTGTCTTCTTTGGTCTCATTTTTCAGAGTTTTTGTTGTAAAGGTCTTCACTTACCTGGATTCTTTTTATCACTAATCTTTCCCCCTACGAAGCTCTCCTCTACTCCATCTCTGCAGGAACTTTCTGGCAAAACTGAGAGCTTTCAAAATGAGCTTTTGCTTCTGATTTTCAGTGTAACCTGGCTAAAAGTTCTCTAACACTATGGTACAATTCCCACACTGGGTTAACTTAAAACTTTCTCCACCAGATTAATTCATCTGCCACTCTTAATCACACTCTCCTACAAAGTCTCAGGACATGAGTAAAATGTAGATAAATTTTCTGGTAGTGCACAACCATGTGGCCTTGAGTCTAACTGCCAGTAGTTTTCATTCCCTATTGAAACCTCCTGAGCCTGGCTTCTACTATCTGCCTTTTTATCAGCATCCTAGTCTTTTGTGACTAGAACTTTTCATCAAACTTGGTTCACAACATTGCAGGTCTCCTTCTTTAGCCAGCATCTCCAAGCCTTTCTCAACTCCTTCCAATAACCAGTTCTAGAGACTTCCGAACTACATGGTCAGGTAGTATAACGGCAACAGTCCTACTTGTCTGGTACCAAAATCTGTCTCAATCGTTTTCTTCAATGCTAGAACACTCAACACTTGTCTTGCTTACTTTTCTCTTACCACTGGGACAAAATACCCAGCACTCAAAATGAAGGCAGGAAAGGTTTATTTAGCTCACTGTTTGTGGAGGTTTCAGTCCATAACCAGCTGGCTCCAAGGCAGGGTGGCATGGCACAGGGGCAACACTTCAAGGCAACAGCCAGCAAAAGCAGCCGGAGAAAAAGTGGGCAGAGCGAGTGTTTTTCCTTCCCCATACTGTACACAGGCCACCCCACCTTAGTAACAAAAATAGTTTACAATTCTTGAATACTTAATCCCTGCGAGACATTATGCTAGATAAATACGTAGTATCTTTAATTTTCTCAATAGTCAGGTATTTTATAGAAAAAGGAAATTGAGGCTCAGTGGGGTTAAACATTTTGTCCCCCAGTCTTTCACCTTCTCCTTTTTCCTTCCATTCTGCATCCTAACCAGAGTGATATTCCAAACACTATGGATGATCATGTTACTCTTCATTTAAACCACTTTGATGGCTTCCATTGTTTTAAAGTCCCAGCACATTAATTGAACGTAAGTGACCTTCAGGATCCTTCTTTCTTCACCACTCCTCATACTTCTTTGAATTCCTAGACCATGCGGACACTTTTTTCCTCTTACCTGTAGATCTGGGATAGGGATCTCTTATTCAGTCACTCAAACGCTTACTATGTGCTTGGCAGTATGTCTGCTACTGGATACACCACGGTCAAAGAAACTGATGGTCCTGCCCCCAAAGTATCCACAGTCTGATGGGTTAAGTAAGTAATTACAGATTGGGGTAAGTACAAAGACAGAGGCAGAATGCTAGATTATAAAACAAGTGGGGGTGTGCAGTGGGGGAAGCCCACGGTGACTAACAAAGTTGGTCTCATAAGGTCTCAGGTGATGACATACTCTGAAAACTGAAGATCAAGAAGTCAGCTAAATATGAAAACAAGAAGCAGATGAGTGACAAGAGACACTGCTAGAGACATCAGCAGAGCCCAGATCATGCATTTTTGTAGGCAAGTGAGAAATTTGGCTTTTATTCTTGGTTCTAAGTGCAATGAAATTTATTGAAAACTTTTAAGGAAGGGAGTGTCATTTTTTGCAGTCCTGGAGTTGAACCTAGAGCTCTGAGTGTGCTCAGCAAGTGTTCTACCACTTCGCTACATCCTCTGCCCTTAAAGGAGTATCACTTTTTGCTGCTAAATGAAGAGCACACTGGAGAAGCAAAAGATGAGCAATAGGGACACTCGTGAAGAAATAGTTTAGGTAAAGAAATGTGGATGGTTTGGACTAGGATCTGATAGTACCAGAGAGCAAAGGGAGATCAGTTAGACACAAAATTGATCTGTAGCATCATCAGCATGAAAAAGATGAACACAGATGAAATTTAGAGAAATCATCAATGGAAAAAGTTAGAAAGTAAACTTACTAGAGAAAGAGAATCAAAATATTCAAAAGGTGGGACTTTTTGTTTTATACTGTCACCAGTTTATGAAGGATTTGTTTCACTGCTACAGGATCACACCTAGGGCCTTCCACATGCTAGGAAAGTGCTCTAACACTGAGCTATACTCCCATCTCCAGGCAGGATTTTTTTTCCACTAAAGTGTAGTCAGATAGGTATTAATGCAAAGAAGGTAAATGGGTAGGTTTATCCTGAATTAAGAGTTCTTTTTTCCAGAATAAAGTTCATGGAGGGAAAAAGAGAGCAGTGTATTTTCAAAGGAGCATTTATGATAAACCATGACACACACTCCAAGCCAGATAAAGATTGCAGTGGACAGAAAATAGAAGGATCAATGGTGCATAAGCAAGTGAGCTTACAGGCTAGAAACAAAAAAGGAGTTTATAATTTCTTTACTCGGAATGGGAAGTGCCTCCTCTATGGCAAAGTATTGCTCTCCAAACGCATCTATCTTGCACTTTCTGCTCCCTCTTCTCCAGAGCTCCCAGCAGGACTACCTTGTCCTGTCACTATCTTATCTAACAATAAAGGTCCTCCTCAAAACACTCTCTCCTCAAAGCATTTCCCGTTTCTTTACCGAGATCCCTCCTGCAGATAACAGCCATCACTCAGTGAGTGTATACCATGGATAGTACTCAAGAGACCACACATTGGTAATGCTGTTTTTTCTGTCTAGGTTCCTTTATCCACTGTGAGCTCTTTGATGAAAGGCACTGGTATAAACATTCAAAAGTCCGTAGCTTTTGTGGCAGTTTACCAAACAGTGGGGTACACGGAGCTTGTCCACTCCCTAAATGTTAACAGTAATCTCCAGCTCATGGGCTTGCAAACCTCATTTGCTACATCAGCGTTAAATAGAAAGTGAATAAAAGCTCAAAATCCCTACTCACAAAAAAATATTTTTTTCCAGTTATCTCAAGGGATGGACTCCAATGTCACAGGTTTACCGTTAATCCACTCTTTTGAAACACCTTGTTTGTAGAACAGCACTGCTAGAATGTGGGAACGCAAAGCCTCTATGTCCAACAAAAATCTGGATACTCTATCACAATGTGAGGACGGTCACTCTCACTAAAAACTAATCACTCTGTCCATAGCCTAATGCAAGGGGCCAGAGACCCGGAATGGGTCCAGAAGACCCGGGACACTGAGGGCTGCTCCAGGCTCTGACTTCAGCCTGGCACCTACCTTTATCCCCGGAAGCTCCAGCTGCGTGGGTCAGGCGAGCGTTCTCCTGGGTGACCTCGGCCATGCTCACCGCGTGGAAGGGTCCACTCGAAGGCACCGTGCACGGAGCTGAGGAGTCTGCACCCGCCGCCGGAAGTCCTCGCGGGGCCTCGCTGGGTTCCCCCGGAAACGGCGCTCCGAGGTCACGTGGTGGCGCGGGGCGGGGCCACGCCGGTTTGTTTTGGTCCGCGGTGGGGAGCGGCGTGTAGCACGTGCTCCGGCGTGGGGCGCCCGCTGCCTTCCGGGCCCCAGCTTTCTTTGGTGTAGCGCTAGCTTCGTCTCTGCTGCTCCTCGTTTTCCAGTCCAGTTTTTCCTTTCCACCCTTGCTTGCCCCACCTTGTGGGATTGATGTTTCAGGGCCGGCCCTGCGCTGCTCTGACCAGTCCCGGTTACCAGGACTGCTCTGGCTTCCCCTCTCCCTTCTAGCCTTAGGGCAGCAAGGTGACTCCGTCTGGCTTCTGAGGCAGCCGAAGAACATGAACCTCTGGCAGGATGTCCTTTAATTGCGTTCCCTGTGACTCATTCCCCAACCCAAGCAAGCTGAACTGCTGGACTTAGGTTTTTAAGGGCACTGACAGCCGTCAGGCTTCAGGGTTTGTTTATCAAAACAAAGGGTTGCCTGGCCCGGAGACCAACAGCCTTTACCCTTCCTCGCTCACCCTTTCTTCAGCTCAAATCACAAGAGATGGATCTAGTGCACTTGGGGGCACAGATCTTCTAATGTTAATCAAGATAATGTTTAGCCGTCGCCTCCAGAGTGATGGGCAGAGAGATTACCTTTCATATACATGAATAAAACTGGCTAGTTTATAATCTCACTGGGCATGTAAGGCACAAAAGACAGTAATAGTTATAAAACTAGGTGGCACTTATTTACACAGAGAAAATGATTTTCCTGACCCTCTTACACCTAAGTCTTACCCTATTCTCCCGGTAATTTCCGATAGTATAAGCCCAAGTTTAAAAAGTTAACCCAAGCATTAGGTTGGTGGCCTGAGGTCACCGCGTTATTAGGCACATGATGTAAACTTGGGCACTTCCTCCGGCAACCCCAGACTTGCTCAACCTCCTTCCCCACGACCTCGCGGGAGCTTCCTTCTGCTGCCCGCCGTCTCGTCGCGGCTCAGGTTCGGGGTCCCGGTCGAGCTCGGCTCCCCTGGCGGCGCCCCCGCCGACTGGCAGGGCGGACCCCGTCTGTCGCCCCCTTCAGGGCCCGCTCGACGCGCAGGCGCAAAGGCGCGGCCGGCGGCCAGCGACTCCGCGGCTCCGGCTCCGGCTCCGGCGCTGGGCCGCGTCTGCCGGGCTGCTAGGCAGCCGCGGGCGCGGCGGGCCGGGGTGGGCGCCGCCATGGGCTCGGGCTGGAGCAGCGAGGAGGAGCGGCAGCCGCTGCTGGGGCCCTCGCTCGGGACTGGGCCGGGGCCGGCGCGGAGGAGCCGGGAGGCGGCGGCGGCGCTGCCCGCGGCGGGCCCGGGGCCCGGGCGGGTGTACGGGCGCCGCTGGCTCGTCCTGCTGCTCTTCTCGCTGCTGGCGTTCGCGCAGGGCCTGGTCTGGAACACCTGGGGCCCCATCCAGAACTCGGCGCGCCAGGCCTACGGCTTCTCCAGCTGGGACATCGCGTTGCTCGTGCTGTGGGGGCCCATCGGCTTCCTGCCCTGCTTTGCGTTCATGTGGCTCCTAGACAAGAGAGGTGAGGCGGGGACGGGGCAGGGGTCGAGGTCTGCGCTGTCCCTCCCAGAGCCGGCGACTGCCCGCCTCCAGCCTGCCTGCCCGCTCCCTGGGCTTGGCTTTAGGCGCTGTGCGAGGTAACCGAGTGTCACTGGCGTTCTGCTCCCGACATAGCCCCGTGATCCTAAAGCGACAATTATGGGGAGGCTGCTTTGCAGATACTTTGTTTTTTTCATAAATCGAGACCCTTTGAAGCAATACTAGGTATTCGAGTGATCCTCAAAAAAGCACGTTTTTTGGTTATTGTGTACATCAGAGCATGCCAGTGCACGTGCTATAAATGTTTCCTACACTTGACAAAAATGAGTAGTACTTTGACTTCAAAGAGATTTAAGATGATGAGGGTGAAAGGTCAGAAAATAGATTGATGAGGCCAGATGTGAGGAAGTAATAATGAGCTGGCTTTGTATAATAGATGGCTCCCGCCCTGGATGAGCTCTCGGGAAGCCTAGATCTGACGCTTGGGTTTTTGGAAGGGAATGCATCACAGCTTTTAAAATGTGTGTGTGTGACCATGTAGTTTTTTCAGATGTGGTTTATGACTCTCAGATAAAGCTCATGGATGACAAAGGTTTTCTTTCATACCAGGAGTACATGGATGTCTCGCTTTATTACTTGCCAGTGTGATTATGTGAGGGAGTGTTAGGAAAAATGGTCTTAATGTTGAGAATCAAGATTCTGAATTATCCCCCCGTAAGTAGTATGGTAAATGATTGGTAGTGATAATCTACCCTTAAGAGGTATTATACAAGGTTTTAGATAATTTTGGATAATGATTGGGAACTACTTTGTATATTTTCTGCTAGTTCAACCTTTTGTAAGTTTTATTGAAATGAGTTATTTGGTTTGATTTGAATAATTAGCTTAGTCCACAGGGGCTGCTTATAACAAAATGCCATGAGGTGGGTGCCTCATAAACACCAGAAATTTATTTGTAACAGTTCAGAAGATAAGGAAGTCCAAGATGAAGGCCTGGGCAGAGTCCATGTCTGTGAAGGCCTTCTTCCTGCACTGTGTTCTTTTCCTTATAACTTCTTGTAAGAGGCTGGAGGGCTCTCTGGACTGTCTCATAGAAATCCCATTAACTCCATTCAGGTTAATGTCCTCATAACCCAACCACCTCAAAAGCTTCATCTTCTTAGTTCTTTCATCCTCAGGATTAGGATTCAAAATATGAATTTGAGGAGAATGCAAACATTGAGACCATAGCAAATTGAAGCGTAGGTCGGCATAGAAGTGCAGTTGTCTCACGCATAGCGCTCAAAGTATTTGTGAGTATTACGCGGCAGAATGATGCTAGCAGTTGTACTTGCTCTCCCATCCTGATTCCTGATAGTTGCATCATAACAATCCATCTGGGAAAAGACTACGGAATTGGTGATTGTGACTTTATCCACAGCCAAAGTGATGGAGCTGCGATGGGAAGTCAGTTTTAGGCGCAGAAGCGTAGTGTTCAAAACATCAAGAGAAAATAGTTCACAGTAGTTTGTACTGATGAGCATTGACTTGCAGGTCATTCGACAAATTTTGAAAGTTTGTGTAAAAAGAATGACGAAGGTTATAAAAATCATGATGTATAAGATGAGAAGATCTGGGTGTGTCACACTGCAAAAGAAACTTGATTTAGAAAATGTGAAGGTCGAGCAAAAGAGGCCCTGGACTTAACATCATGTATGTAGTTCTAGGAGGAAGAACTGAGCTGAGTGCAGCAACCCATTGAGTACACAGAAGAGGTGTCCAGGTACTGGAAGGGTGGGTCCTCGCTGGCACTGGACTCCAAGCAGAGCACATACGTCCCAGAGGGCGTGTGCTAAATCCTGAGAAAGGGCTTCATGCGTTGAAACTTGTTTAAGAGTTTCTTGTTTTCCTTTGAGAGTTTTTGTTTATTTTTAAACTAAATTACAGACTTTATTTGAATTTTATCATTTTTTTCTACTAATGTCTTTCCTCTATTCAAAAATTCAGTCTAGGGTCACACACTGCATTTATTTGTTATTTCTTCTGACCCCATCCTCCCCCACCCCACCCCCTGCCTCCAACCTGACAGTTGCTTGGTCACTCTTTTAAAGGTTGACCCAATTTAAGGGTGTCAGAAGACTAAATTACAATAAATGTAACTGTTGAGCTAATGGCTTTTATTTGTGATTGGTGAATTCGGCAGCCTCCATGCTGTAAAACAGAATGAGAGTTCTGACTGGGAGAGAGAAGAGTAGGAGGGTGTGTAGGGTGGGAACTGCAAACAGAATAATAGTTTGAAACACACACACACACACACACACACACACACACACACACACACACACAACAGCCTGATTTGTTGGTTGACATCACCTTTCTGCTGTTCATTTTTTTTTGTAAAGATTAAAGCAGAGACTTCCTTAATCATGCTGATTCAAGTAGACTGAAATTTCTTGCTGTCAGGAAAAACTAGTCTGTTTTGTGGTCTCTCTACTTCAAAGTTTCAATTTGATTATTTAGCATGAATGATTCCATTTTTGTTTCCATCTATTCTTTTGGATGCTGGTGCAAAAGTCAATCCAAAATAGTAACCTACCATAATTTGTATGTAATAAGAAAAATTCTCTTTTCTAGTTTCTTTTTTTGTCTTTTTCTTTTTTATCAGTACCGGGGATCGAACTCACGATTGCCTGCTTGCAAGGCAGACACTTATGCCACTGAGCTAAATCCCCAGGACCCTCTAGTTTCTTTTCATCAAAGGCAGTTTTTAGTATTATTCTCTAACTTCAGCGAACCTTGTTTTTATAGTAGAAAAATGTTAATTTTCATCCTCTTTAAAGTAGTTGTATCTATTACTCATGGCCAGATAAATTAGAAGCTGTTTATTCACTTCATAAAGTAAATCACTTTAGAACTTATTTTTTAAAATATATTTTTGTTAGCACATGTTTGTGATATATAATGCATACGCTCATCTGGAGAGGTGGTGCATATCCACATGGTATCATCTTTGTTTTTTGGGTTTTTTTAAAAGCTTTTTTTTTTTTTTTTTTTTGTCTTTTTCCTTTTTATCAGTACCAGGGATCGAACTCACGACTGCCTGCTTACAAGGCAGGCGCTTATGCTGCTGAGCTAAATCTCCAGCCCCTATCATCTTTGTTTTTACATCCACTTCTTTCTCTCCTCTTTCCTTCCAACAGTGTATTCCTATCTCATGTGCAAAACACCTGCTTCCCTGTTTCATGTGGGTTTTTTTTCATTCTTTAAATTATTTTTGCCTTGTGTATCTTATATATGAGAAACCATGTGATATTTAACCTGTGTCTAATTTATTTTACTTTGCATTATGGTCTAAAGCTTTATCCATTTTTCTACAAATGACTCAGATTTATCCCTCTTCATGCTTGAGTAGTACTCCATTTTCTTTATTCATCTGTTGATGGACATATATGTCACTTCCAAAATTCAGCTATTTTGAGTGGTGCTGCTATAATGTCTTTAACTGTTTTGGGAAGAAAAATCTATAGGGCTTAGTTGAATGGAATCTCTACTTTTAGTGTTCTAAGCTATCTCCATTCTGATTCCCTTAATGTGACACTAGTTTACATTTCCACCAACAATATAGAAGGGTTCTTTTTTCTACAGCTGACCCACTTTCCTGATGATAGCCATTCTTTCTCAAGTAAGATGCAATCTCAGTGGTTTTTGATTTGGATTTCTCCAATGGCCAAAGATGCTGAGCATTTTTCTTATATTTATTGGCTGTTTGTATTATTTTGAGAAGTGTTTACTCATTTTGATTGCCTATTTTTTCAGTTTGGGTCTTTGGGGAAGTCTAATGTTTTTAGTTCTTTGTATGTCCTAAATGTTAGTCCTTTATCTAATGAATAGCTGGAAAAATGTTTTTCCCATTCTGCAGGTTGTCTCTTCACTGTGTTGGTTGTTTTCTTTGCTGTGCAGAAGAACTTTTTGGGTTTTTTGGTTTATTAAATCTCCCAGCAGATTATTTCTGTTTTAACATCAGGGTCTTTGACTAATTTTGATTCTTACTTTAGTAAAATTTAAGAGATATGGTTCTAGATTCATTCTTTTGCATGTGGATAGCCAGTTTTCCTAGCACTGTTTGTTAAAGAGAGCATCTTTTCTCCGGCATATTTTTTGGCCCCTTTGTCAAAAATCAGATAGCTCAATGTACCTAGGATTGTTTGTACATCCTCTGTTTTGTTCCATAGTCTACACATGTCTGTTTCTATGCCAATACCATGCTGCTTTTATCCTTGTAGCTTTGTAATGTAACTTGAAGTCTGGGTTTGTGATGCTTCCTGCTCTATTCTTCTTGTCAAGGATTGCTTTTGCTATTCTGGATCTCTTTTGGTTCCATATAAATTTTATGATTACTTTTCCTAGTTCTGAGAAGGGTGCTGTTGGCATTTTGACTGAAATTGCATTAAATCTATAAATCAATTTTGTTAAAAGTTAATTTTGACAAGATTGCTTCTGCCTAACAAGGAACAGGGGATGTCTTTCCATTCTCTAATATTCTCTTCAATCTCTTTTTAAAAAATATTATGGTGTTCCTTATAGAGGTCTTTCACTTGCTTAGGTTAATTTCTAAGTATTTGAATTTTTAATGCTGTTGTGATTGGATAGAAGCTATTTCATAGTTCTTATAACCACATGATGATTTCAGTTTTATATTTTATGTTGGTTGAAGGTTTAAACAATGATCTTTTTTAGGAAGTAGATTTCCTTTCAGTGGTGAGAGCGAATATACTTTCATAAGTTGGTTGGCCTGCAAGCCAGAAAGCAAATTCTCTGCTTTTTCTGGGTGCTAAAATATCTTGCTCCTTACAAGGTCTGGTTTTCATTCCACAAGAGATCCTGTTCAGCCTAGCAAGAAAGAAGACCTGTTATCTTCCCAAGATGAGTGTTTATCTTTTCTGTCTTCATTTACCAACAAGGAAATAGAGGAGAACTAATTGGAGAGATAGTAGGATAGTGTAC